ATGCCTTCCAGGAGGTCTTTTTAAGGGAAACTGGCCCCTATCTAGGCGTTAGAGACATGGAGAAAACCCGGAAAACTCCACATGGCCAGCCCATCTGAGCAAGGTGCGAACCCACGACCGAACTCCTAGTGTTCAGGGTACGAAGACTGCTTGGCTACTGGTGGGCACATGTTTATAATTAAAGTTCCACTTTAAAATGGCCATAAAATGGAAACTACTGAACAGAATGTTATCAAACTTGGTAATAGTGTACAGGACATCATGGGATTTTATTTCCCACGAAAAAAAGTTCAAAAACTCACCACCAACGAGAAATGGCACTGTCTGCAATATTGTTAAACGAAATAAGACATGAAGACATCATTGAAAATGTTTTTAATCGGTTTAAAACGAAACTGTTTGTGGGGTTACACAAAATCACAATGGTTTATGACAGGAAGAAAGTGATATGCTAAGAGCAACTGTTCAGAACACAGTAATGCGATATAACTTGTTTATCAAAAATGGTGGACATTGAACATGCTCTGTAATGCATTTTAAAACAGATTAAAAACATTTTCAATGATGTCTTCATGTCTTATTTTGTTTAACAATATTGCAGACAGTGCCATTTCTCGTTGGTGGTGCGTTTTTGAACTTTTTTTTGGTGGGATATAAAATCCCATGACGTCCTTTACCCTATTACCAAGTTTGATAACATTCTGTCCAGTAGTTTTCATTTTATGGCCATTTCAAAGCGGAACTTTAATTATAAACACCCTGTACAGCAATGATGAGAAGCCATCATGCAAAATAATAAAGACATCCAGAAAATGTATGTAGTGATTACCACATTACTCCAGGTATAGTGTTAATACATATGAACTGTTATTAGTGGTACCAAGGAAGAAGTATAGGAGAAGGTCAAAAGACCAAACAATTAAAATATCATCCATACATCTTGAATACAATAAGATAAAATCCTGGAGTTCTAGAAGATTTGCCTCCTCTAAATGTCAAACTATAAGTTCACATATTGTGCCAGAAATGCCTCTGGACTTGAGATAAATGTCTTCAAAATTCAAGGAGAATGACAAATTAAATGCACTAACACCAAATATACATGAATGATATTTGTGTGAACAATTGATATTGGCTAGAAGGAAGGCTGTTAACTCAAAAGCAGGATACATTTCTGATAGAAGGGAAAAGGAGCAAAGTCACACACAGTAAAAAATATATGTTTTCTCAAACTAAGGGTGTTTAGCTTTTGGAGAACATCATGATTTTTAATGACATAAGATAATGGTTGGAAGTGTAGTGTAATAAAATGATTAAGAATCCTCTCAATGTAAATAGTGGGGAGAGTCTAACTTGTCAAACACCAGTTGTAGCTGGAAACCCTCACGTCGTGGCAAATGCAAATATATGTGGAGAAAAGAGAGCCATGAGTCCTCCTACCATCTGAAAAACTCCAACTAAAGGCACATTAGAAAATCATTGGACCCTTGATTATAACACACAAATAATCTTGAAAAGCATACCAACAGTAAATAAATTCAGCATACATACATTTGGTTTTTAATGTAATCTAGGATGGCTTATCTATGGGTCAATCGCATTTATAAGATAATGGCATTTGATTTATCTGACCTAATGACCACAATATCAATAGTATGCAACCATCTTTTAGATCTTCCAGAAAGAAGTTAATTGCAATGGAACACAAGTATTGTGGATTTGAAAGGCATCCTTCCATCAATAGAATTCTTTGTAAATTTGACCGTCTTATAAGTGATTTTCTAAATCTTATTAGCACATTTTATTTAAAACTAAAGAAAGTTATATTTTTTATTCATAGATTACTTTACAATTTAACTATTTAACTACTGATACAATAGACTTTTTCAGCAAACTAGATTTGACTCAAGCATTAATAAACTTGTGGGTAAATTATATTGATAAACACAAATATAAATCTGGATTTTTCAATTCATTTTTAAAATTAATAATAAATATAGTAAGTTAACCTTTCTTCATTTTTAATTACAATAGTTTTTAGAGTATAAACTGCACCTAGGTATAAATAGCAGGGAGTAAAAATAGGTTGTTATTGTAAACTAATCGACTGATAAGCCACACTAAATTTTAGTTGCTGATAAATACTCAATGTTAAAAATACAAATGCTTAATTAAAAACAATAGTTACAATTATCATTTAAAAATATTACTTGCAACAAATGAAATTCATTGACATTAAAACCACACTTTAAATACTAGATGTATTTCATTGACAATTTAAAATATGCAATTACCATCAAACCAGGAAAAATTCAACTTAACTAATCATTAAACAAACATTTTCATCTATTTTCAACAGTCATCCTCAGATTTCAAAGTAATGGAATGTTTGTCCAAAGAATGCAAATTCCAAAGATTTTTAAGAAGTTGCATGTTGTGGAAATATACACATGTTCAATGTTGCATTTAAGAAGGTTAAATTCGACTTCAAACTGGCTCCCAATTTTTTAAAAAATACTAAATTTATATGAAATATAAAAACGAAACCTGACCAAGATCTATAGCACATCAAAATATACCCGCCACACAGCCACTAATGAGTCCACTTCTTTAAACTTAATTGCTGTCCTACTCCAAAATGCTTTAAATATTTCCATTTGTTTAACAATTAGTTTAAATCAAATTTTTGCTGGTTTAATGATAATTGCATATTTTATTTGTCTTGTATATCAGTAATATCATGATGGTTGCAATGACAATTTCAAAGTTCAATAGCATTAGGTCATTAAACTTGTAAATTTCAATAATTCCTAATATCAGTGATACTGAATGTCAATATTAGCCAGTATTCTTTTTTCTGATTTCAATATTAGAAAATATTGTATTGATAATCAATTATTTGATAGTATTGAACACCACTAGTTCAGATGCTGCTGCCAACTGCAAAGTGATTCTTAAATGATGTGAAACTTTCCACACCTAAGCTGCAATCTTTTTTTCATTGTAAAAACAACACATAAGTCATGGATTATATTCCAAAAATTACATAAGAATATAAATATCCAAATCCAATATTTATATATTAAAGCCAAATGATTTCCAAATTATATCATGCTATATTATTACTATTTTCTTCCAGAAACTTTAAATTATTAAAATATTAATTTAATTATAATTATTAAATTTAGCAAGAGATGGCACCTAATGCTTGCCTCTAATGCCAAATTACTTAGCATTTAATTATTATTATTAGTAGTAATATAGCCTGATATAATTTGGCAATTATTTGGCTTTATGATGTAAGGATTTAATACACTACAGTATTCTAAAAACACTATGCTACAACTAAGTTTCTGTCAAATACTTAAAGAGAATTAAAACTATACACTTCAGCACTAGTCTCTAAGAAAAAGTCTATTTGCCTGTGAGCTAATACAGTATATTATTCATGGACTTATCCATCAAAAATATAATTTTTTTCAGTTTATAAAAATTTCATAATATTTTTTTTTAATTTATAAAATTTAAATATTTTAAAAATTCAAGTAAATCTATTATGTAAATAATAATAAACTACAGTCGACCCCCCCTATAACACTGTTGATTTTTCTGTTTTATATGAATTCCATGTTGTACGAGTCACTTAGATTTTACAAATACGTGTGCCGGGCTGTGAACAGCTCACATATTTGTATAATCTAAGTGACTCAAACAACATGGAATTCATATAAAATGGAATTATCAACAGTGTTATGGGGATCGACTGTATATATTATAATAGTTTAAAATTTATCTATAAAAGTCAAACAGATATTAAACACCTGCAACTATCATAATCAAGAAGTAAAATATTACTAAATATAGCAGTAAATATTCAATGAATATTTAAATAAACAAATTTCTATTACAGCATATATAAATTTATAATTTTTATAATAATAATGACTATATGTAATAAAGTTTCTATAATAAAAGTTTATGTAATTTGTTATATTTCAGATGTACAAGAAAAAACTCAATCTTTACTTTAGCTATGGAAAAAAAAATATCTGGCTCATTTTACATTTACTCAATTTGCAAACATAATAACTAGCAAATGAAAAGTGTACTGAACTTTCTTAGTGCAAAGGTCACAATTGGTGCATTTAGTGATGAAGTATATATGTTATGGACAAAGTAATTAATACGGGCATTATGAATAATGACCAACAAAATCAAGCATTGTAATAAATTTCAATAATTTATCAAATTGACCAGTCATTATGAATACTGCTATCACCTAGTTGAGCAAAGTGATGATAATACTTTGAGGAGTTATCATCCAACATAGGCTAGCCAATCAGCACTCACATCTGAGTTATGCATGCGTATTACGTTTAGTACCAAATCTGGTGGCAGTTGTGACTGTTTGTGCTCCCAACAGACTCCTCCCAGAGAGGAGCCGTCAGCAGGCCGCAAATTGTTGATTCACTGTAGTTGTTGAACACACATATCAATAACTAGTGACATTAAACAATCGGCAGCCTGCCAGCGGCTCTCCGGTGCAGCGGTTAAGAGCACAAACAGTCGTGACCGCTGCCATGACTGTGTACATAATTAAACAGTAAAATTTTACCTAATATAGTTAATAGTACTTAGTTTTAAAAGATTGCATATTCTTTTTAAAATACTTTGAAATAATTCACAAAAAATATTTCTAAATGAAATAAGTGGAGTTTTTAAAATCAAATTAAAATGTTGCACAAGATTAACTACTGGTTGCATAAATTTAAAATTCGATACTAAAACACGATACGCACTTGCAACTCAGAGTACTTATTGGTTAGTGTATATTGGATGATCACTCCTCAATGTATTATTATCACTTTGCCCAACTAGGTGATAGCAGGTATTCATAATGACCGGTCAATTTGATAAATTAATCAATATTTATCACATTGCACACCTTTTCTGGTCATTATTCATAATGACCAGGCATTATGAATAATGCCCGATTAATCACTTTGTCCATAACTCCTAGCATATCACATATGTATACAGAAGTTCAAAGGCATCCTAAAAATCCATATGAGAAGTTAAAAGGTCAGTCAGATTCAGATCACAATACTGATGAATATGATGATCCGGATAAATTTCGAAGAAACAGAAAACAATGGCCAAATTTTCAGTCTGATTTATATGAACCACCTCCAGTTCCAGAAAAGCAAAATATTTATGATGATGATTTGGCATCTATTCCTGAAATATGTAAATATATTTTCAAATGTTGATAATTTGTTTTAATTAAAATGTTTTATATTCTTAGTTCACAAAAAATTTCAGGAATCAAAAAATTAATCAAGAGAACTTCTCAGATGAATACTGTATTTTTGAATATAAGATGAACATAAATCAATTATACTGTATTTAAGCTTATATTAGAATATTACATATTTAATAGAAATAAAACATTTAGAAATTGAATAAAATTATAAAATGTAAAAATAAAAAATGTATATAAATTCTAATTGTCATTTTCTGAATTTCAGCTCATAATCAAGAACAAAATGAAGATTTATCAAATACAATAGCTGGCCAAGCAGTTGCTGGAAATGTTGCTTCTGCTGAAATACCTTATATGACTCCACCTGTATCTCAGTCTATTATTATTCTGATAGTAACATCTCAAGAAGAAAATAATTTTCAAGGTTCAAATAATTTTCATCTTGCATAAACAAATATATGTATTTAGAAAATTTTTCATAAAATAACATTTATTTCTATCCATATTTGGAGGTTGTCACAATTATAGTCTTGCATATATATATTATTACATAATGTAGTAAGAAAGTATATATTTTTTTATTTTTTGGGGTCTCCAGAACAAATTAATCAAATTCACATAAAAACCTATGGTAAATCGATAATTGGTTAACAAACAATTCAGATAATGAACAAAGTCTTGGAACGAATTATGTTCGTTAACTGATCACCCACTGTACTCGTTGTGCAATGCTAACAAGTTTTATTACAATTTTGCATTGTTTTGTGATTATTACTTTTTTTTTGTTTATAAAGAATGGAAGAAGATAAAAGAAGTAACGAGAAGAAAAGCTAAGGAACCAAAATGAGGAGAAAAGGGCCAAGGAAGAAAAAAAGAGGTAAGATATACACATATCTTTCTTGTTAGATTATCAGACTCTGGTGATTCAGGTTGATGTTTATATTCACTAATTCTGTGAAGACTCCAAACTGTCATACAAGGGTGAAGTGCCAGAAAACCTTTCTTCTTGTCAAAATAGTTATGTTTATTTTCTGTTTTTTTTTTCCTTTCATATTAATAATACTTAAGGTATTCCCTCCACAGACTACCAGAAAGGCCCAGTTGTGGATATAATTTGAAAAATTTTAAATGCAGTTCACTTACAATAGCAGATATTTGTGAGTTCCACAAAGCATAATTCTATTTAACAAAAAATTAAGTTCAATGCAGTTGCAAAAAGACATATTCACACTGGCAGAGCAGAATATGAAAGGAGTGAAGACTGACATTCTATATGTTTTACTGAGGGAAAAAAAGAGGAAGTGTGCTTATTTACTGGAAAATGAAAACCAATTGCATAGGAATAACTAACCATAAATACATAGTACATGATTTCAACATAACAAAACTTTGAAAAAATGTACAATAGTGTTTTAAAAGAACACAAAGTAAAACTGACTTATTTTAGAGAAATTTTTAGCACATTCGATTAGGCATACCCAGAACAGATGTCTGTTTGACTTCCCTTCGGTTGCCTGAATAAATGAAAGCCAAAAAAACACATGCAAGAATAGAATGATTAAAAACTGAATTAAAAGTACATCAACTGTAAGGGAAAAGGCATTGTTTTAACCCCTAAAATAAGAAAAGAACGGTCTTTTGATCATATCAGTTGAATTTCAAAAAAATCAACCTTTTCCAAAACTTCCAAATCAGACAACTAATAAGTTGTCTGATTTGGAAGTTTTGGAAGAGGCTGGTTTTGGAAGATTTACATCAATTGTATGCTTACAACTTTATAGTAGTTGTAGGTCTTTAAAGTCAAAGCTGACTGCTGATAATATACTCAGTTATGTTCAGACTCAAGATATATATATATCTCAAAGATTCTAATGAAATATCCAGTTGTATTTTTCATTGCCTCTCTACAATATTTAAGTTTGAAGATATTCATACTCTGCACTTGGTAGCAATGGTTATGGGCAGTGGTGATATTCGAAATATTTAACAAAGGGTTCGCTAACAGAAAATTTTTCCTTAACAATTTTTTTTTTTCTCTCAAATGGTGCATTAGCAACATTAGCGCAAAAATTGACCTTAAGATATCCATATAAATAAAAAAGATGCGTTCGCAAAATTAAGTCAGTTAAAATTTAACATTGTTTATGCCAGAACTATATTTTTTTTATAAATAATGAAAAAGAGTGTTCAAAATGATTTATTTTGTACATATTTTAATATTTTTCATTCAAAATATTTTATAAACATAAAAATTGGCTTTTTTT